ACTTTCCTTAGTAGTAGATTACGTAATATTTCCTTTTATGTTTATTTCCTTTTACAGTTATTTCTAACCCTATAAATAGGGTCTTCTAGTTTGTAATAGAATCAAGTTTATTATAATACAATTTATAATATTCTTCACAAGTGTAAATGGCCAAGTAGCTCTCTTTCTTCAAAAATATGGTGCTCCTTTCTGTTCAAACTACCCAAAAAATAGCCAACACCACAATTTTCCATACCTCACCAACTTCTGTGAGGTAAAACCAACATTTTTTTCAATTGATATCCCACTGTACCATTCAGCATAGCCCATTCTAAACCTGCTTCTCTTTGTAAGCTGCAATATAAAAATCTGGCAACATGACTGTGACAATAAAATGATCAATACTTAGTAAGAGAAAAGGACATCACACTTATTAATCCTTCTATGGGAAACCAGCCAAGAGAACTCCATAATCAAGTAAGACATGCTAGAATTCAGATTGAGAGTAGTCCAAAAAATGCAAAAACTCAGCAAAGTAATAAGAGTTTCAATGTTTTCTAGTGACAGCAAGTTCTCAGTTTTCACCATTTACTTCCTTATCTCTTTTATTGCTCTTTTGTTCTGTTATCTACCTCGACGTGTATGGTAAATGGACTGAGCAGGGAATCAAAATGTTTGTTCCTTATATTTGTCCCTGTATAATTGTAATACCCCTTTGGTTTTAACAAGCAGTTTTGCCATGCTATGTCACGCTTCTCTGTAAACAGGTAGATGTTACAATTGCAATTGATCAAATGTTTGCTTGTGGAAATATAGTAATTAATATCATTACATGGAGCCTTTTTTAAAAATTGGTCCATTTTGAATTAAAATTGTCATAATATGTCATTAACCACATGACTTAATATCTGTTTTATTTACTGTATAATCATGATTACAGTTATTAACTTATTTTACTCTTAAAAGGATTTTCAAGTGCCATTTTATGTATGAAAAGGAGATCAATTTGCCTACAAGAGAACGAACAATGGTGCAAAATTGTAATTTGAGATGGTGGTTTAGGCCTGCAGCAACAATAAGTTTGCAATTTCATGATTTGAAACATATAAGTGAATATAAGTTGTTAGGTTGTATTGAAAAATTTATTTTGAAGTTTGTCATGCACTGTTATGTTACCTATCATTTTCAGCAAGTGTGGACAGTGTCTGAGTTCTAAATTGTCACACTACTTGTCCAGTGTATCAAGTGTCCTTAGCATCACTGAATATTGTGTGCATCTCTAGATTCACAGAGTAATAAATTATTTAATTTTATCTGCTTTATTTTTTCAAATACACAGCTGTGTCCTCTGTACCCACATAACCCGGAGGTCTTACTGAATGAGCTGAAGTCCCCATCCGAGCTGCTGGACTTTGGAGAATTTTCAGATTGTTTGGATTTTGGATGTGGCTCTGGTTCACCTCTTCTTCATGTTGTCAATCCTGCATTTGATTATGTGCCACCGAATCTCGTTAGCTTATTTATTACAGACACGTAAGTTCACATCATCAAGAAGTATAGATTACCTAGAGAAGATCCAACTCTTGAATGCACTGCTTGTCACTATTGCAGAGGCGGGCACAATCCTTCGTACATGTACCGACTCCTTGCTGATTACTATTCTGCTGATGATTTAGTTGTGCAAAGGAGATTGGCCTCTTGAAATTCAGTAAACTACATCTTTTCATTAAACTTGTTGGTAAGTCTTTCTCCTATGCTAATTATTTCAAAAACCAAACTACTTGAATTTCCAAACTCTGAAACAAAAAAAGAGATTAATCGTTTTATATGAATATTAAAAATCAGCAAACAGGCTTCCATATGAATTTAATTGCTCAACTAGCAAAAGCCAATCTGTAACAACCTGAGTCTCTGTATTCAAGCCGCTAGTGTACGTACTGTTCGCTTTGGGTGATCCTATGCCCACTTACCCCATCACTGCTTTCTATCGCGTCCTTCAATATTCGAATCCAAGACCTCTGTCTAATAAGAGACTTAAGTTGAATAATGGTACCAATTGGACAAGTGTTTTCTTGTAACGATCCAGGTCCTTATACCCAAATTGTTAGCTTACATATTGTCCGCTTTGGGTGGGTCTAAGCACACTTACGTTCTCACGGCTTTGTATCGCGCCTCCCAGGATTCGAACCAAAAACCTCTGTCTAATGAGAGACTTAAGTTGAATCATAGTACCCATTACCATTCAACGGCTTGGGTATAGAGACTTGTGTCATTGCACAATCGGTTTGGAAACTCAGCAGTCATTGATATCTGTTTCTAGAGCCCAAATTGCATTACTCTATTATATATTTTCCTAATATTACGTTTTGCCCAAATTGTGCTATGTTTTTTCTCTTATATTCTTCTTTTCTATTTAAGTTTCCCAATAATTGTCATCTTGATGGAATGGTAAAGCTCTTCTTAGGGACATTGCTTGATTCTTTGTTCTTTTCTCTGAACAGGGTTTTGAGCTTGTGGTAGTAGAGGCCTGTCGGAAGCTGCAGTTATAGATAAGAACATGACCCGTGGAAAGAGAAAATGGATGGAGGTTTTTTTATCCTTTTGATTGCGATGAAGTGCATAGTTGAAACAAAATCAATCTTCACATTTTTATAGGTTGTTGAATTCTATTATGATGGTAAAATAGTATCCTTCATGTACAATATCGTCCAGAGTTGTATTGGCATGTGAAATTTTGGCATCACGTTGCATTGTTGAAAAACTTGTGCAGGATATTGATTGAAAGTTTTCTGTATTTGCATATGGAAGTTTTTGATATTATTTTCCTCAGCTTTTGGTGAAATCTTGCTGAAAGTTAATTGCAGACGCCCTTCATTTAGAAAGAAGTACTGGTATTATTTGGTAGGGTGAAATGGACACTAGTAAAAATAGAAAAAAATTGTATGATCTATCTTGAATGATTATTTCTTATTTTTTCCCTAATCACGTTTGCAGGAAAGTTGATTTTTCAGAACTAATAATTTCTTTCTGGCAGCCAATCGATCAGGATAGAAACGGTTACTGCTTGAACTTGAAGATAGGATTGCAATTCGGAATCTTGTAACTTTTATTTTTACCCCTTTTCTGGGCTTGGGCTTGGGCTTGGGCTTGGGGTGGTATCCGGAGTACAGGAGAAGTGTATGGTCATTGGGCCTCAGAATCTGTCTTATTTTTGACGCCTTCCCTTGGCAAATGTTCTGATATGTTGACATTTTTCCATATACTGGGTGTCAAAAATGCATTGGAGAGAGTGAGTATAATAGATCGACTCAAGGTCATACTAGAATAAGCAAATAGCAAATGAGAATATAGCCAATCCTACGGCAACGACTCACTCTCCGGTAGCCTACAGTGCCAAGTATCACACTAGCCTACAATGACAGTCCGACTAACGGTTTTGGATGCATGAATTCAGCTCTGGGCAGGTCAATGCCGCTCCAGGGGTTATTTGGCATGGGTTGGGGATCCATGTCATTACTCTTCACAATCGGTCGGTCTATTCGGGTGCTAATTCCTACTATTTGTTAGGGCGATAAATGGATCGGATATGGATTAGATTTGTCCATATTTGATCCGATCCGATTCAATAATTCAACGGATATTTGATTGTTAAATCCATATTCGATTTGTTATATTATCGGATATTTGATCCGATAATTCGATCAAAAATTAAAGAAATTATGAAAATAAAATCAATGTTGAAATTAATTTTTTAAATTATTTTTTTCCAATTTTTAAAAGGGTTTAATAGTTATAAAATTTTCAACTTTTAGCCAATTGGATTGAAAGACAAAAAAATTGCTTACCCATTTATTGAATCACATATATATAGAGGACATTTTTAAGCATTTTGTTATAAACTTTTGATGTGGGATAAGCATTCATTTGGTTTGTTTGTAGTACGTTGTACCTTTGGTCGGACAATAGCGTATTGAACATTTGGTTTGTAGTGTATTGTATTATTATTTAAATAGTTATTTATAATTTGTTAAATTAATCATTTTTCATATCTTTTATTAATTAATAAAAATTTTAAACTCTGCAAGTATTGACTTTATTTATTTATTTATGTTTGAATTTGATGATTTTTTTTTTTAATTTTCTCATTTATTTATTTTAATGGCATAATATGCTATAAAAATATTTTATCGACTCAACTATTTATAATAAATTGATCAGATTGACCTATATTCATATTTGATCTATTTAATTCAAGGATTATCGAATTTAGATCTTGATCGGAATATCGAACTAAGACCCTAAATTTATTTCCCTTTAATTTCATTGGATTCGAATCAAAATCCAATCCATTAACCGTCATACTATTTATCAAGCTTCAAGTCCTACTTCTCGGATGGACCCGTGGGTCTACCCAAGAACATCAAAACCACCCCACTTCTCCAAATTCACATCGCTCATCACTATACCACATGAACCTCATTGGAGCCGGTATCGGCAAGGTCCAAGTCCAGGTCCCCCATAGCACAGGAGCTCCTAGCATTCGACCCCGAAACAGGTACTATCATAGATTCATGCATGGTTATAACCCCTTGGTTCAACCCATATACAATGCAAATCCAGGATGAATTCAGAAAACAGGTGAAAGGGCCTTCTAGCCTATTGGGGGCATTCGGTACCAGCAAGGTCTAGGTAACCCACAGCACAGGAGCTCCTAGCATTCGACCCCAGAACCAGTATTATCATAGATTCAGGCATGGTTATAACCCGTTTGGTTCAACCCATATACAACGCAAATCCACGATGAATTTAGAAAACAGGTGAAAGGGCCTCCTAGCTTATTGGGGACATTCGGTATCAGCAAGGTCCAGGTCCCCCATAGCACACGAGCTCCTAGCATTCGACCCCGGAACTGGTACTATCATAGATTTAGGCATGGTTATAACCCGTTATACAACGCAAATCCGGGATGAATTCAGAAAATAGGTGAAAGAGCCTTCTAGCTTCTTGGGGGCATTTGGTACCTACTTTTCAGCCATAGATGAAGACATAGCTCCACCTGTAGTTCTCCATTTACGGGAACGGATTTGGTGTTGCCAGTGGAAAACAGTATGATACAAAATAGTTTGGGTTATTTGGCGTGCTTGGCTATGGCAGCTGCACCGAATAATTGGAACCGTCAGGAATATTATAGCCAATTTGCAGCAGCAGAATCTTAGGACCTCGTCCGACACAGCAAATTCTTGGGTAATGCTTGTGAGCTTTGTAATTATGTTTCTTTTCAAATCGACATGTGTGTGAAAGAAATTGAGTACTGAATTATCTTCTAGCTAATGGATTTAGATTAGTGTTAAAACACCACCAGTGCTATATAGCATTACTTAATTTTCTGTGCATGAATCACTATGTTCCCTTTATTTGATTGTTGCATGATGGTACTTTCAACCGGGAAAGATTTGAAATACAACAATGGCATAGATTATATTGAAGCAATAAATAATAACGATAATATAGATAGCTGGAAATAAAATAACCTCCCCTCCCTAGTCCCACCCTGCCAAACAAAAGATTAGGAAGAAAAATAAGTACACGGCAGATGTCTGTCAACTATGCTCGATGTTGAACCAGAAAATGAGGGAAGCGCGAGTACATACGACTCTAACTCGCTGCAGTGAGAGAGTTCCACTGGTCAACACAGCATTTGCCCCCCCTTCAATTTTTGTACGTGAAACAGAAACACAATCGCCAGAATTCTTAAGCACAGATGAGACTACAGAGCTAGACGCAGTGGTCACAATTGCATGTGAGAGATGGTCCAAAGGATTCGACTCACACTGAAGAATGCACCCGTCAATGGTCAACCTCCCACTCCTATGAAGTAGGCAACAACCGAGCTCTGCCCTCACCGTCAAGTTAGCCAGCTTGCATGTTGACAAGAACTCCAATGCACTGCTCAAGAACAAGGAATGGTGCATACAACAATGCAATGAAAAAATTCCATGTGGGGTTTTTAAGAGCCCACTCCAAACTGTTGGATAACTTTTTTTCATGGTGGATGGGCTGAAGCAAAATTACCCTTTTTTTGACGTATATATAAACTAGTATTTAGAATACATTATTAATATTTGAAACCCCAAATAAAAAATCTGCATTGAATGATGAGAAAGCATTATCTTTTCGCAAGATCTTATTAGAGGTGAAAAATTTCAACTGGAAATTAAAAGAATCCACCCCTCGGTTGGAGGAGAGAGAGCAAAGTTGGTGAGATTTTATTTGAACCAAGCAGAAACCAAAGAGAGAAAATTTAATCTGTTGAACCACAAGCTTGGAGATGGACATTCATTTTCTTTAAGAACAATAATTCCCCCAGAATCACCACTTTGGAAAAGGTAAATTGGGCAAACCTGTCAGAGCCTCGGGAGCAGATGAGTGTTGTATCATCAGGAAGCTCACCCGAACCAATCTGGAAAAGTAAACACCAGTAGGAAAGGAAAAGGTAATATTTCATTATCTAAAAATATGTTCACCTCATATAGTATGCTCTTGATTTTGACAACAATACAAACCGTTAGAGCTAACGTCGAGATATTCTAACAATATTTACTCCTCACATAAGAATAAAAAAATACAAAAAAAGGACGAACAAAAATAAGAATTGGAAAAAAGCATCTATTTTATCGCATAATCAATGCAGCAAGAAACTTAACTGCCACTGTAACAAAGGATCATTATAAAACAAAGAGAGGATAAGGGTGAGAAGACTAAAAACACCAAGAATATGAACTTAGCCAAATTTTCTGCATCCATTATCACATTTCATTCCATGGATTTAAAAGGCGTTATGAGACATGCCTAGAGGCGCGCCACAGTCTAAGGCGATGAAAAATAGTACTCAGGTGCGAATACTCAAGGGGGGAGAATGAGACTTTCGCCTTTTAGTGATTGAGACATAAGCTTTGAGACGCGCCTCAAAAAAGATTGAGGCTTGCGCCTCTCCTTAATTATCTTGGGAACCAATTTTTCTTTAGAGTGCTCATCTTTCATTGTTTGACTTCATCAGAAATCTAATGTACATTAGAATAGCATTGGAGATCTCCTAAATTTGAATAAGACTTACCAAATTTCATGGATTATTAGCCATAAATTATCTTTGGAAATCCATTATGCCCATATTTCTGGATTTTAATCTTGATAAAAATCTAGGTCAAAGTCAACAATTAATTTTAACTACACATTTCATGGGACTCATGTAAAGCCACGAAAATTTTTAGAATAGAATTATTTTGCCCTAGATTTTAATTTTAATTTTTTTAATTTGGAAGTTGAAGGACTAAAGCGAAATGGGTATTGTTTCTTTTTTTTTCTTGGGCCAAATAATTAGATTTTAATAGAGCGAGTTTCAATATATCAATATTGGGCTCATTAGGTAATTCGTATTAAATTACGCAGCACGGACTTGATAAAAAATTAATTCGGATAAGTTATGCCCAAGATATTGAATATCTTTAATTGGTAATTTATTTAAAGTTGTTTTATAATTTTTGTTTCATGACAACCATGATTTCACGTGTATTATATACGGTAATCCTATGTTGATAATTGTTAATTATGATTCTATTTTGATTTTGATAAGTGTTAATAATATATTTGATATATTCCAAATTTCACTTACTGTTATCCAAATTCTACTTTTGATTATATTTTAATTAAAATTAGTTAATGAATTATCTTGGTTAGCAAACCACGTGTGCTTTGGATAGATACAATCAATTTATTTTATATAACTAGTAAATAGATACAATTCCAACATCGTTAGGTAGGTAATATGGAATTAATTACTATTGTAGTAGGGTGGATACGTGCGAAGTCAAATCTTATCCTAGTATACTTATAGGATACGACTATTCCATCCTTTTGCAGCCAAGTGTAATGATTGCTTTTTACCTATCAAAAAAAAAGTGTAATGATTGCTTTATTATTTGACTAGGAAACCATTTATTTAAATACAACGCAAATTCTATTACTTTGAAATCAAATTACATACTTGCACTTTCAAATTAGGATTGGTTAGAAGCATAATCATGATAATAACATAACCTATAAAGTGAAACCTATTTCCTATCCAATTTCTACTTGTGATGCATGGCCCCAATTCTAATTGTGCCAAAACTCAATTTCATTTAACTATAAATACTGGGCAAAGGTCCCATCATTCACTGCAAAAAAATTTATATACACACACGACAGATTATAAAGGTAGAAAAGAGGTTTTCACGTTAAGCAACCAATAATTCATATTTTATTTCAAATTTTTTTTTTTAATTTGTCAATGTAAGTTACTTATGTGCAAGTGATTTGTTTCCGTATACCTTTATATATTCAGTAATTTATGTAGAATTGCCCGTGGACCTTCGGGTTCGACTTAACGAAATGTGAATTTTATTGGATTCTTTATAACAAAATGTGAAATCCTTCGAAAATTCAAAATACTATTGATGGGTATGAAGTGTTTATTTTTATTATTATATAATTGAGTATGAAAACTGTACGTATCTTATTGGGTATTTTTAAATGCTCACTTTTACAATAATTAACAAGTTAGTTTGGATCGATTGGAATTGTGGCAGAATAGTGACGCAGACTGCCAAGAGGATTGGAAGAACAAAAAGCATTAAGTTCTTTATCTTTCAATTGATTAATTAGCTTCATTTGAGTTCAAGGACATGATTTGTTTAATTCGAAAGATACAACTTTCATGTTTTGGATTAAATTATGGATACTATTTATTTTTCTACAAAGAAATAAAATATTTATTGTTTTCGCAATTAACATGAAGAAACTTGAAATTGAATTTTTAGTAACACTCCATGGTTTATGAAAATTGGGGTGTTACACTCAACCTCTTTTAACCATACATTTAATAACTTTTTATCAAAATCTACTAAAAATCTGATTTTCACCTATACTAAGCTATACCAAATATGGGCTATATTTCAAAAGTTAATTAATTTCTTTGGTTATATATTAATATGCCATTAGATAAAAAAATGATTACTACGCGATTTTAGTAATCTAAATGCCCGTACAGTTTTTCAACCATTGATTCTTTCCATAAATACCGATATTCAGATTCGAAATCATAAAAAATCTAGTAATTCGAATAATAATTAGAATCATAAGATGAGAGCTAAGACGATTATTTCAGATTGATTGGAACAAGTAGATGTAGCAAATTAATAGAATTGGGTGCTATGTCAATTCCATACAATATAGGGAATTGAAATACACGTATATGAAGAATTATTGTAGATTGATATATATAAAATGAAGCCTCTATCTTTATTCTAGAGTAGAACTTTTTAGACTAAGAGATAGATAGTATGGTAAGAAAGAAAAATGTTCAAACACACAACATACATAAACCGAACAGACAAAACAAGTAAAACAACACTACAGCCGCATCATTACGGCAACTGCTCATCACTCCAGTGACGACACCACTCTGATAAAGACTTGTTTGCCTTGATAGTTTAAGTTGTTCTACTGGTTTGGGAATTTTATACATTATATGGTTATTTATATATTTTTGTGTTTTTCTTTACTATTTTTTTGGTTCAGTGCTCAATTTCACTTTTTTAAACACTGATTTAATTTAGGCAGTCAAATTTGCATGCATGCAGCTTGACTAAAAAAATAAATACTTACATGAAAACCTTTGTTTAACTGCTGCAATCAATTTTCTATATGAAGAGTTCAAGCAAGGAAAAAATTTGACAAAGATCATCACATGGATAAGGATCAAGTTTATCATAGGGTGGTGATTCCTCTATCATCTGGATCCTTTTTGCTATTTTTTTTTCCTTGTAGTGATGCTCCTCTTTAGGAGAAACTATAATATACTGCAAACTAGAGTTTGAAGCAAATTAAATAATATATTTATAATGACCTGTCTTTGCTAGGTGATAGGATAAATAAAAATAATTGAGATGAAAAGATCATTTTAATTTCACCAACTTAACTAAATTAAAACATGGAAGAGAAAGCTAATAGCAGAGAAAATGCACATCAGCTTGTGGGCTGAAACAACAAACATTACAAACTATCTAGATAACACCAGTCTTCTTACTCCCAAAAGAAGAGAAAAGGACCCGCATGACTATATGACGGCTTTCAGTAAGATGTAAAATTGGAGCGGTCACAAAGTTGCAGCTCCTGGATTTAAAGTATACTCCTAAACTTTAGCAGTGGGGGACACGAAGCATAGAGATATTAACTAGTGTTTTTTTCCATCTAAATAGAGACCAAATGCTAGCATTAACAAAGTGCTACTAAAGGACTACCCAGGAAGAGAACCTAGAAATTACCAGGCAAAGAGGCTTTTTAATCTGAATATTAGAAGCGCGATGAATCCCTCCTGCTGAAATCAGTATAGTGTCTCCAGGCCTGCAAAGCATTGAGACAGAAATGTTCAACTTTAGTGACCAACATAATACCCAGAATTTTGTACAAGCACGTACAACTTCATGCCTTATTTTTTTAGGGAAAACAAAAAACTTCACTGACCTGGCAGCAGAGACAGCTGTCTCAACGCTGGGGTAAACCCCTGGCTCAGAGTGATCTTTGATGGAACGATCTACCCGCAGCCAAAGTCGAGGGTGACATGCTAGAAAATGCCATCTGTGGCAAACGAGGGCTGTGTTATACCGATCTGCAAACTCAACAGCAATTCATGACAGATACCATAACATATTGCAATAATTGTGCATCTAGATTAGTAAATAGATACTTCATTCAGATATTAAGCAGATAACTTGTAGTCTTCTCTTATTGAAAAACCATTATGAGTTATTGTAAGAAGTATACACATTGCTCGTATCTGATGCTTCAGCTGAAAGTTGAATGTGCTTCTGGTTTCAGCTTTATGTTCAACACGGATTACACAGGCAATTATCAGTTTATCATGACAGAAAAGTGGAATGGATCCCTATTTTAATTTGATACACTTGAGTTGTTGCAGTGCAAAATTCAATGGCGTTCAAGATATCACTGTTTTTTGAAGTTAGGGAACTATTTGATGTATAATCTATATGGTCCAATGATAAATTATCTTTTTTTTCCATTCAATTCAAATCGGAAGGAAGTGTTCAATACAGTTTCTCATTAATCCAGAGGTTAATAGAACATAATTGAGTATTTCAGTGTAAAATAAGGTACTAGAATCTCAAATAATCAATTACCTCAACTATAAAAAATTGGTAGGATTTTCATGAACTTTTGAGTTCTCCAACTTCTAGAGGGAGTACAACACGTCATAGAAAATAGAAAATGGTGACTAAAGAGTCAGTTGTTAGTATTTTATTTAGTTAATTAATTGAAAGAGATATTAGACTTGGTGATCATAATTATCAAGTACGCCAAGAGCTACAGACAAGCCAAATAATACCGTTGATTTTTTATTGTAATATTACATAATGAAAGTAGCACCAAATTTATACTAAAAATAACAAAATCAAAAAGAAACTAAGCCTTATTCACAATAATTTTGAGGTTGCCAACATGAATTCATTTTTGTCACTTCATCTAGTCCATTGGCACATCTACGAAGATCTACTATCAACCAATAACTATGGTTAGTATCTCCATTCTAATTAGATTGACTTTTGAATACTCTTCACCACAAGATGATGTGGTTGCATGATCATGGTCCTCAAAGTGTTTCTAGGTGCCTCTATTTCTTGATCTCATTCTTAATTGAAGCTTTCTTCAAAGACAGCAGGACAATTTTCAGAAGAAAAAGGGATTAAAGTAGAAGTGTTATGAATGTTTGTCCATTGACAACGAGATCGTCAATTATTCAAGTAGAAGTGTTAAGAATAAGCAATTGATAAATTCACCGTTAAGCAAGACTCCAGTTGCTTCACAAAATCATTTTACACGTCTAACAGTACCAACAGTAAAACCTTAACTAACAACATCAGGTTGCACCAGGCCATCCACCCACTTGCTATGTATCATCAGAACAATTTTGAATTAAAACAATTGCAAAATTGCATTTATACTATGTAATCAAGATATATTTCTTCCATCCAATTCATAAAGCTAATTCTCCCAGAAAATGGAGGTTCCCAAATTGATCAAGAGAACACAATTACCGTATATTAGGTTACAAAATCTAATATCTCAAATATATGTACATCCAAATAGATTTTAAGCATACGCTTCAACTCCCCAGGTGACCACATTAGTCCCTTTCAAAGTCTTTATAGCAATTACAAACTGGAATCAAAAGTAGGCTATGAACAGAGTTGCTATTTATTATAAAAAAAGCTCCTTTACATCAATAATTAATTAACATACATGGGCCTTCCAAGAATTAACCAAATCAAATTGGATTTCAAAAGATTTAAATGTAAAATATAGAATACAGGATCAAGATTTTTCTCCATATGCAATAAGAAAGTACAAATACAAAACTGAAACGGTCTATAAATCCAAAATATTCGTGAAATTAAGACATGGGTTTCACAAAATCTAACTAAAAATCATTAATTTGGCTCAACAACCGTCGATTATTAGGTCTTCGAATACTATAGAAACGTGGAAACTAATTTGTATACCTGGAATAGGGTATAGGAAGCTGAAGATATGCATGAGACAGCCATCATCGAGATTGTTTATGCTAGAATTAATTGAATTTTCTGAGTATTTCGCTAATTTCTTCCACTTGGGTTCATGGACCTCCATTCAATTTGGATTTTACTCGCTCAAACAAGTGTTATTTGTGAAACTATTTTTCTTTTCTTCCTCATTTATCTAGAAGTTTCTCTATTTTCCCAATTTTTAGGATACTGGGCTTTGGATGTAAGTACATGGAACCGACCCGGATTTGATCCACCTTGACAACCTAATTGTAGCCCACTAACCAAGCCTCTGTTTGCTTCTCCATCCATATAAATGAAAAATATGATCGTTATCCATCATATCAAATCATCAATTTTGAATTTCTATCTTTTGTATGGGACCTAATAACGACTATATTTTTCATTTTCATTCTACAATAATGAGAATCAAACGGGCCCCAAGTTTTTTGTTGCTTTTCTCGTTTTCTGGATATAATTATTTAAAGGGAAAATTGCAGTAGAGGTCCCAAACTTTTCCATTTTCTAAAGATTATACCTTAACCTTCTATTTTTTACGACTATAGTCCAAGCCTTTCACTTTGACTACAGTCGAAATCCATTGAACAGAATTTGTTTATTAATCTGTTAGTCAACCCTGAAATTAAAAGTTTGACTAAAATTAACAAAAAAATGAGGGGTAAAATGGTATATTTACATCTTCTATATAAAATTTCAAAATAATACATCAAAAATTAAAAAGACTATTTGTCTTCTCCGTAACCACGCACCCCATCCCCACCATTTCCCCAAAACCAAAAATAGAAAATTCATCGTCCAGTGTCACTTCAAACTCATCCTTCTTCTTTTCCGTTCTTGGTCGATTATTGAATTTGAGATTTTTGTTGTGTTTCTCATGAAACTAGAATTTGGGTTTCAAAATTTTATCAAGATTTTCAGTTAGGTTTCTTTTTTTTTTTTTTTT